AATGTCTTTCCTGACAGAGCGGTGAGACATTGGCCCAGGCTGCCCAGGGAGGTGCTGGGGTCCCCATCCCTGGAGGGGTTCAAAAGATGTGTAGACATGGCACTTGGGCACATGGTTTAGTGGCCATGGGAGTGCTAGGTTATGTCTGCCTCCAAAGGTCTTTTCCAACCTTAATGTGATTGTATGAAATCAGTACATTGAAGCAACTAAATTGTTCTAGATGCTAAGTGCCTCGTTACTTTCTGTTAGTTTTTGGGTAAGAGTGGAGCCTGACATGGCACGCAGATGTTTGTCTGTCAGAGTTTGAACCACAGAATCACTGAGGCTGGAGAAGACCTTTAGGACAACCAAGTCCAACCCTTAAACGGCCCCCTCACAGCTGCTGCGGGGCTGCGCTTCGCTCTCCGGGGCGAATCACGGCAAAACTTGAGCCCATCACGCTTTTTAAGCGTTAAGATGCAGGCACCCAGAGGCTCCTCCTGGCGGAGGCGTGGCGTGGCTCCGTGCCAGGGGAGCTGCTGGGCGCCGACACCCTGCCCTCCCCTCAGCTGGCTGGCATTAACAAGCGTTTCGCCCGGACGATCGGCATCGCGGTGGACCCGCGGCGCAGGAACAAGTCCACGGAGTCGCTGCAGGCCAACGTGCAGCGCCTGAAGGAGTACCGCTCCAGGCTCATCCTCTTCCCACGCAGGCCCGCCATGCCCAAGAAGGGAGACAGCCCCGTGAGTGCCTGCCTGCAGGAGCCGTGCCCTGGGGTGGTTTGGGGCGGCGCGGGCTGAGGTTGGGCTCTCAGTGTCCATCGTGGTGCCACGGGGCACGGCCGCGCCGTGCTTTCCGGTGTTGGACCCCTCTGAGGAGCAGCCCTGGGGCTGGACCCCTCGGGTGGGCAGAGCTGGAGCTTTCATCTTTATCCAGCCCGTTGGGTTCTGGCTTACAGTGTTTAATTGCCAGAGCAGCTGGAAAGTCCATGTGGAATTGTGTTCTGTGTGGAAAGGGTGAGGAGGGCAAGGACACACTCCTCACTGGAGTGTTCAGTGACAGCCATGTGTGAGGGCGTCTTGAGGAGGTTGTTGCTGTTGATAGATAGAAATGATTCCTATTAAAATCTCACCCAGACCCAGAGAGCTTTTGGTGTCCTGGCCCTGCCCGTGGTGCAAGGTGCCGCCCTCGAGCCATCCCCTGCCCCCCCGGGGGGCTGTTGGTCCTGAGACCCCAGCTGTGAAAAATCTGGGGGGGGCTGGAGTACCCAGCTTGGTACCAGTCCTGTTACAGCTCTGGGCGGGTGTGTGCTGGGTGCCTGGCACAGGGGGTACTGGGCCCAGGGACTCGCTCACACCGTGCCAGGGCTGGGTTTAATGGTGGGGTTTGTCCTTGTCCTGCAGGCTGAGGAACTCAAGATGGCAACTCAGCTGACTGGGCCAGTGATGCCGATCAAGAATGTAAGTGCAACCAAATCACCTGCTGTGGGGTGTCACAGAACCACTCAGCCTGGACTACACCTTTCAGACTGTCCAGTCCAAACATTAAGCCAGCACTGCCAGGTCCCCACTGAACTATGTCCCTCATTGACACTAAAGCTTCCTGGAGGAGAGCCTCTTCTCACTGTTGGACAGCTCAGGGTCACTGTCTGCACATGCTTCCCATCCCAGACCCCCGAAAAAAAAAAAAGAACAGGTCAGGCTTGTCCTTATCATTTGTTATCAGGATCTTTTTGGTTCCTTAGCAGTACAGAGCAACCTAATTGTTAGAGCTCTGCTGAACTGCTCAGCGGGGGATGTCCTCACATCACAAGCTGTGTTTAAAATACATGTATGGGGGGGGTGGGATCTAGTTCTGCCCCTCTCAACCCATGGGAGCTGTGGACCTTCTCCAGAGAAGGCCACCATGGGGTGAACCTGCTCAGAGATCCCCCCAAACCACCCGATTCCTGTGCAGGCACAGGCTAAAGCACCCGGGTAGGATCTGCAGCGTGTGCTTGTGCTCCACACGGTCCCTCCAGGCAGGCTGAGGGGCTGTTGATCCGCTTGCAGCCTTTGAGAGGAGGCTGCTGGTGGAGCACGCCGGGGACAGGGCCTGTAGGTGGCACAGGCGCTCCGCTCCAGCCGCTCCCGCTGGAGGCCTGGTGAGGTGCCCGGGCCATGCCACACGCCCTGACGCCTGGCACTGTCTCCCTGCAGGTGTTCAAGAGGGAGAAGGCCCGTGTCATCTCCGAGGAGGAGAAGAACTTCAAGGCCTTCGCCAGCCTGCGCATGGCCCGCGCCAACGCCCGGCTCTTCGGCATCCGCGCCAAGCGCGCCAAGGAGGCGGCGGAGCAGGACGTGGAGAAGAAGAAGTGAACCCTGCTCCCTAGAACTGTCAATAAAAACTGTAGGAAGAGGGGTGTGCTGTGTTTTTAGGGCTCATCTGCAGGACCGAGGGCCCTGCGCTGCCTGTGCCTGACCTGCCCCCTGCGGGAGGGGCTGCTGGAGCTGCCAGGGGAGGGGTTTTGGGGAAGCCCCCACCTCGACCAGGTTTGTGTGCTCCCCACTTCCCTCTGTGCCACAGGGGTGTTTCAGATTTCCTCACGGTTCTGGGGGAGGCAGAGTGCTGGGCTCTGCTGCAGGAGGTGGGTTGTGGTGGGTGTCACCCATAGGTGCTTGGTGTGCTCTGGGGCAGTGATGGGCTGGAGCACTCACCCCCGTATGGGGTCCTGCTCCTGGGTTTGGGGAAGGCAGGAGGGGGGATTTGAGGGTTGTACCCACTGCCTGGGCTCAACCAGCTTCAGATGAGAGAGAATAGTTTTTGTTGGGTGAGACCTTTTAAGCTCATGGAGTCCAGCCATGCCCCCAGCACTGCCAGGTCCCCACTGCCCCCTGTCCCTCACACCAAATCTCCACAGCTTGC